GGGCAGAAGTTGGGTGCCGGGCGCCTCTATTTTTTTCGAATTTTGCATATTTCAACTTCGTTTTTGTGTTCTACTTCATCCTTAACTTCAAAAGAAGTCTCATATAAATACTCCACAAAGTGCAGGCTCTTCATATATTCAACATAATAATTAAATCATTGTTGTATACAATAGAAATTTGAGAGAATTATTTAGACTTATATTGAGAGTGTTAAGTCTTATAAAACAATTTTATCTTTTTGGTATAATAAATTGTCCTCCTCTTTCACATAAATCTTGTATTCTTGTGATCCATTATTTTCATATTCCTCATATAATTGTCGTATTTAATTATTTGGACTGGTGCTCAACAATTATAACAGAATGCAGAAAATAAAATAAAGGAAACAATTCAAAAATATATTCGAGCTTCTTCAATAATGATAAAGAAAGTGTTTTCTAATATAGAGGCCTGCGAATCCTAAAATCTAAAGAGCATGAGTAAAGTTAATTATGATGTCAATGACATTTGCATGTCGGACAACAGGAGTGAATGGATCCATTCTCTAACCCCAAGAATGTTTGTGTTAGGCTCATGACTCAATAACATTGAGGCGCCCCCAATAGGGGGTCTCCATTTGGCCATTAGGTAAAGGGTTATGTAGAATATTATGTACAATTAGATTAATTAAATGAGAGTAAATTAGGAAAGTTTTTGGTGAAAATTGTTTTTCCAAAAACATTAAATAACATTTCTTAATCCACGTGAAAAACAAAATAAGCTTATATAAATGAGACGGAAGAAGTATTATTTTGCACTACTAATGGTATAGTACGTGTTTCTATGTCTTTAACTGATATATCATTCGTTACATGGGGGGTTGGATATGAGCAATGGCGAAGTCAAGATTTTTAGTTCAGGGTCCCAACAATGGTTGATGGTGCTATGATAGTAGTGGGTTAACATTGTATAGCAATAGTTAGCAGAGAGAGAGATATTTGAAATAAATAATAAGAATAAAACTACTTGTACATAATTTTCTACCTAATTCTCGCCATTTGTCCACTATGTAAAACAATAGGTAAAAGATTGTGTTATTCTAGCATTGTCCAAATAATAAAGGTGGCGTTCTCTTTGCCCTTTTCAAGCCGTTTCCTATTTTCGATTTTTCAAAACGGCGAAAACGCGTTCTCTTCGTCATTTTCGAAAAGGGAAAAAAAAATTGTGAAGAAAACAGAAAATGGCCAAAAAGCCGTTTTCCACGTTTTCTTCACAAATGTAGCTGAAAATGGAAAACACGGGAAATGCCCAAAACGATTTCCTCCTTTCCGCTGCAACACTAAACAAACCCCTTCCTCCTTTCTGCTGCAACCACACTCTACCGCCACTTTCAAACCCCCTAAACTCCGACCAACCTCCTCCAAAATGGCCGGATTAATAAACCACTGTGAAGCCCTCAATCCCCTCTTCAATTACCACACAAACAACAATCAGTCAAACAACAAAATCGAAGGAAAAAAAACCTAAAAAACTTATTCAGCACACCTGGCTTCTGCAGGAATCAGCCAGTTCTGGAGCCAATCGAAGGTGACCCATGGTAGTATTGGATGC